CTCAAGAGTTAACAGTAAGCAGATTTGTTCCTTTGTAGATCACACACTAAGCACATAGTAATCACTTGATTTGAATAATAAAAATTTGTCGTTATTGACTTGTAAATATTTCAAGGTTTCTTTACCGACTCTTTACCGACTCTTTATGCTATCTGTTCCTTACTTTGCAAATAATCTGTAACTCTAAGAAGAGTTTTTTTTTCATTTTTAATTGGTCTGCTGGGGATGCGAATGGGTAAGAACCAAACCAGCTGGGCACTCATTTTACTCCAGACTGTAGTTCACATTTAAATTTAATGTATTCAGACAACTCTACCCATGTGTCCATGTGGTAGCATGTGTCCAGAATTTCCAGGATAGTCTCAATGTCAAATATTTTGCCTTTAGTATCTATAGATACATTCTAACTTATAATAAATGTTCTACATTTTAGCTAGGAAAATACTAAAGCACTGAAATTCCCCATCAATTTAAGCCGGAAAACACAAATTTTCCACCTCATTAGAACTGACGCAAATGTGTTCCTTTTTATGGCTGAGTAGTAGTCCATTGTATATAGGTAACACAGCTTCCTTATCCATTTATCTGCTGATGGACATCTAGGTTGATACAGGGCAAAAACCATTACAATATTGTAATTATCCTCCAATTAAAATAAATAATTTTTTTAAAAACTGAGGCAAAAACACACACACACATAAAATTTCCATACTATGATATTCTACTATAATCTCACTAATTCAAGATGTGTAAGGGAAGTCTCTTCAGAGTAGTACAAATTTAAGTTCATAACTAAAACGAAATGTAAAGTTATTTTTATTTCATGTGAATTTGAATCTAAATGCTACCATGAGATTTTATAATTTAGTAGTAGTTCATTCAGAATTTTGGTGGTAGAGTTGATAGAAAGTATTTATTACCATTTCTTTGAGGAAGGGCTTTCCTTCTGGCTCACAATCCAAAACTCCAATCCCTCTGGCTAAAGAATCTTCCTGCAATGCGAGAGATCTGGATTCGATCTCTGGGCTGGGAAGAGCCCCTGGAGAAGGGAAAGGCTACCTACTCCAGTACTTTGGCCTGAAATTGAATTCCATGGACTGTATAGTCCATGGGGTCCCAAAGAGTCAGACACGACTGAGTGACTTTCACTTTCACTTTATTTGAGGAACCTGACATTCAGAGATTAGGTCTTCATTTAGGTTTAATTAAATACCATTAATTTAATTAAAGACGTGATATAATCAGAACTAGAACTTGGGTTCTAACTTCTGTTGGTTATTTTATAACATAAAACCTTACCAACTAGAATATGAGTCAGACAAGCTAGCTCATTACCTCATCATTATATAAATCACAGAACAAAATGTGTAGACACTAATGTGAATGAAGTATTACTGATAGTACACAAAAATATGCTCCAAATCCATTTGGATATAATTCAAGTCCTCCAATAAAACACAAAGACAATTTACATTCTCCAGCAGTTCTAGATAAAGAAATATTGAAGAAGCCCATGGATGTTTCCTACTTCACCTTATTAATCACATTAAACTCCCATTTCTGAGAGGCCTGTAATGGACATTATTTCTGTTTCAAATTAGAATTGATTTTGCTTTCATCTGCATTATTTAATTTGTTCTACAAAGTTCATTGGTGGTGGTATGGGGAGAGGTTCTCAGCAAAATCAAGAAAAGCTAAATTAGAATTCAAAAATATCTTAAGGGAGATGTGTTCTCTTTCTTTGTGAATGTATACAAACAAAGAGATGAAGATGCCAAGTAAATATTAAGAGACTTTGGGGATGGGGTGAGGAAAAACCCAAGGTGCAATAACATAGGAACCACAGATTAACTTTCTTTAGACTTTCAATCATTCATGGAGTGATTTATCCTTTATTCATTTCCTAATTTTAAAAACAAGTCAGGGATTTCCCTGGTGGGCTAGTGGCTAAGAATGCACCTTGGAATGCAGAGGATATGGGTTTGATCCTTGGTTGGGAAACTAAGATTCCACATGCTCAGCCTTCCGGTGGTACAGTGGGTAAGAATCTGCCTGCCAATACAGGAGATACGGGTTTGATCCCTGGTCCAGGACGATTCCACATGTCACAGAGCAACTAAGCCTGTGCCCCACTGCTACTGAGCCCGCATGCTAAAACTTACTGAGGCCTGTATGTTCTAGGGCCTGCGAGCCACAGTACTGAGCTCTCAGGCTACAACTGCTGAAGCCCGTGTGCCTAGACCCCATGCTCCACAATAAGAGATGCCACAACGAAGAGCCTGTGCTCTGCACCCGGACAGTAGCCCGCGGTCCGCAACTAGAGAGAGTCAAAGGGCACCAACGAAGACCCCAGGACAGCCTTAAATAAACAAATACATTAATTTTTAAAAAATCATGACCTGGAACAACTAAGCTTGCACCAACTACTGAGCCCCTGGCCTCTGGAGCCCGTTTCCTGCAACCCCGGAGCCCGCGCAGGATGCAACAGAGATCCCCCGTGGAACCACTAAGACTTGATGCAGCCAAATTAATTAATTAATTCAAAAAGCAAATTAAAATATAAACAAGCCATTCCAGGGTTCAGCCTCTTCTCTTCCTAAATAAAACCTCTGAGCGACTAGCGTTTTTCTCTGCAGAGAAACAAGATAGGTTCAGGAATCCAGTTCATCGATCCAGTAAGACCCTCAGACATTCTTCTCATAGGGATGAACATGATGAAGACAAAATACCACACTACAGATGATTCAACTCATTCAATTAGTTTTAGTGAATGACTCCATGTTTTTAAAACTGGCATAAAGGAAGGCCTGAAACCACCACCATCCTTGCTTCTATCTCAGTGAATCCTTCTTAATGCTGCCTCAGAGACCTGTGACTTGGATTTGCCACTCTTCTTTGTTGACAAAAGCCCTTTCCTGGGATTGCTGGACCGAGAGATTGTTCAATGACTTACTCAATCACAGTGATTTCCCCCCAGAGGCTTGCTAAGTGCCCAGCACTGGAGAAGCTCAGAGTGTGACCGTTTGTGTCAGCTGCTCAATCTTGTCTGACTCTGTGACCCCATGGGCTGTGGCCCACCAGGCTCATCTTTGCATGGAATTCTCCAGGCAAGAATACTAAAGTGGGTGGCCCTTCCCTTCTCCAGGGGATCCCAACCCAGGGACTGAATCTGGGTATCCCGCATTGCAGGCAGATTCTTTACCATCTGAACCACCAGGGAAGCCCTAAGACTTCCCTGAAAGCTTAAGCTTATACAGGAGACCTACCCTGTAAATCTCATTCTGTCTGGTTTCCTATTGGGGAAAAATGGACCAGCATACCAGCTATCGTCAGCTCCAAGACAGTCTAGTCAAATGAATGCAACTGTATATAAAATTTGACCTGCCATCTAAATAAATGAAATGCAAAGACTGCATCTGTACCTTTATTTTACTTTCTTCAGTATGGAAGTCTTCCTGTATATTGTTACTAAATACCTTACTTAAAAATGCTAGAAAATACAGTAGAAATCAACAAACAGGATCATAGGATTTTTTAAAAAGAGAGAAATCCTGAGGTATTTCCAAGGGAAGACAGAATATTATTTGCTAGAGAATCTTTCTCTAGCATTGTGTGTTGTATATAGTTGTCACACCAGCCACCTGTGAGCCCATGCCTCAGGCCAAAAACAAACATAATTAAGGGAAAAGCCTATTATAGCCAATCCAGTGAGAACAGCACAGGTGAGAAAAACCGTATCAGGCTGAATTTGAAAAATGCTAGACAGGCATAAAATAATCAGAAGATTACTTCTGATTCCCACAACTGGCTGGTACAAGGTTAATATGCTGGTTAGAGGGTATTGCTGGGAGGTGATAAGCTGAATCAAACCTCCTTTCCATTTCAAACTTTGTACTTTGATGTATCATTCTCTGTATTATTACCTAGGGCTGCATGATATGAAAATATTTTTAAGACCCTCAAAATTTTTAATTTCTGAAAGTCAACCAGAGCCAGGCAATCTGAATCATTTTGAATTTTTGGAATCTCTCTTCCATCGTAACTACTGCCTCCAAACTACACACACCATAGCATTGTAACTATGCTGACTTTGGTATTCTACACTCAGTCATTCATGTGACAGGCACTGACTAAATGCCTATGAACGTCCATGTCAAAAGGGATAAATCCATACTTTTAGAGGAACACACATCTCCAACTTTTCTTCCATAATTGCAGAGAGTGTCATAAGTAGGGACATGGTGAAGTCCATTCTCTAAGTGTTACTTAAGGAACCCCTACCCTCACTTGAACATAAGAATCTGGTCTCAAGGATTAAAATCAGGGCCTTCCCTGCTGGACCAGCAGTTAGGAACCCACCTTCCAATGCAGGGGATACAGGTTCGAGCCCTGGTCGGCCAACTGAGATCCCACATGGCACAGGTCAATTAAACCGGCATGCCGCAACTAGAGCAGCCCGTGTGCCACGAGCAGAGAGCCCGTGTGCCACAACTGCTGGGCTCCTGCACACTACCACCAGAGAGAAGCCCGCTCAACGAAGACCCACTGCAGTCACAATTAAAAAAAAAAAAAGAAGTAAAGTCAAAGAGAAGTGCAAAGTGTTTGTTCAGGTGGATTCTGCTATTACATCTGCAAGCCTTTTTCTCACCCTCTTATCTTATGGGCCTGGAATGGACAAAAGGCAAGATTTCTGCCCAGGTCAGGAGAGGAGATAAAGAATGCATGGTGAGTCATGAACGTGTATAGGAAGACAGCCATCAAAAATCTAACTCAGAAAGATGGCATTCAGGACTTCCCTAGCAGTCCAGTGGTTAGGACTCCGTGCTTCCATTGCAGGGGATACATGTCTGATCCTGGTCAGGGAACTAAGATCCCACATGCTGCAAGTAAAGATCCAGCAAGTAGCAACCAAGACCGGTGGCAGCCAAAACAATAAACATTAAGCAAAAATGGCATTCGGGTCAAACAGTGACTTTCTCTGGCAACTAGCTGTTACCTACTTTCTCTGCTGGGCTGAAGAACGCCGGGTGCAAATCACGGCCACCACCACCAGCAGCAGCACTGTGATGATGCCGACGGTGACCACGATGATCACAAGCAGGCTGCTGTTCTTCTGAGGAGTGACGCTGCCGTGTGGGGGGTGCATCTTGCCAATGGGTGGTTCTGGGGAAAGACAGGCAAGTGGAGATCAGGTTAAGGATGTCTGGGAGCCCACGGCTTATCACGCTCCGCTAAGGATTCAGAGTTCCTAGTGTTCTGGGCATTCCTGAAGCTGGGGGGAAAAGGCAATGAAAAAATGACAGGAAAGATCTAAGTTCTCTACCCATGATAAATGAAGCCAAGTCCACACAGAAACTTACATGGGAATATTCATAGCTACCTTATTCAAAATTGTCGCAAGTGGGAAACCCCAGAGCCGTCAACTGATGAACGGACGAAGAAATGTGATATATTCAGATAAAAGAACACTATCCAGTCATAAAAAGAAAGGAAACGTTAATACATGATACAAAATTCACATGCCTTGAAGTTCTTATGCTAAGTGAAAGCCACCAGACACAAAAGGCCACATATTGTATGATTCTACTCATATGAAATTGTGGGTTTCCCTAGTGATGTAAAGAATCTGCCTGCCAATGCAAGAGACTCAGGTTCATTCTCTGGGTTGGGAAAATCTTCTGGAGAAGGAAATGGCAGCCCACTCCAGTATCCTTGCCTGGAGAATCCCATGGACGGAGGAGCCTGGCGGGCTACATACAGTCCATGCGGTCGCAAGAGAGCTGGATACAACTCAGTGACTAAACAACAATTTACGTGAAATATCCAGAATAGGCAAGTGTATAGGGACAGAAAGTAGTTGAGTGTTTGCCAGTGGATGTGGGGAAATGTGATTGGCGAAAGACCGCTTAATGGTACAGGGTTTCGCTTTGGAGTAATGAAGACGTTCTAGAACTAGGTAGTGGTGATGGTGGTAGAACCTTGTGAAACTGCTAAAAACCACCGAGCTGTGTACTTTCAAAGGGTGAATTTATGGTATGTGAATTATATCTCAAAGAAAAAACATAATTACGCTTTCACACAGAATAGAAAGAGGGGAGGATGGGAAGCATGCTGCTTTGGGTGATAAGATTCCACCATGACACGAATCAGAACAGGCTGAGAAAACATTATTTATTTGATGCTGTGAAAGACAAACTATTTGACACCCATCACTCACACTTTCAATTCCTTTAAAGCAGAAATCTATAAAGCACATTTAATTTTCAACCTGTCAAGAGTATATGAATCCTACTTAAAAGCAGCCACAGGGTTGGAAAGAGTGCCATAAACCTCTAATATAATTTTTTTTTCCTATTTTGCAACTGTACCTCACGGCAGACAATATTTAAGTGAAAATAGCAGAATGATAATTTGCTTATATAAACAAGCATGACTAATGAGCCTTTAAATAGCTTTTTTCACGACTTTATCTGTAAAATGGAAATAATAATATTTACTGTATGTAGTTACTGTCAGAATTAGGAAAAAAAAATACATGCAAAACAACTATCTAAGTGCCCTACACAGAGTAATTGCTTATAATATCACTATAGTACTGAAATACTAAATAAAATTTTGCCTAACTTAATAATCTACCATACCATTTGGGATACTTTTGGTGTGGACTTCTAAACTCCAAATTTCCTAGAAAGCTTGTAGATAATATTCATTGTGAAAGATATAGTAACTTGTTTTCACAAGTGAATATAATAACCCAGCACTTGCCTTAAAAGTGAAACACTATCTTTTGATAACTAACTTATCTAGGAATCCTTGGGGTTTTTTTTGAAAAGATAGTCACCTAATTTTAAATACATTATTGTTGACTCAATATTATTGGAAAACAATAAATGCTACCAATATAACTTGAATCTCAGGGGCAGGTAACTCATCAAGTCTTTACATAGTACTTGCTGTTAAAAGATTCTGATTATAAATGAAAGAAATAAGGTTTCCTTGAAGCAACTTTTTCCTTTATGACAAAGGAGTGAGGCAAGTAAGGTCAGAACTTTGTTAGTTTTACTTACAATTTAAAAAATCATGTTGCAGTTATACCTCAATATGCCCTTTCTGTTCTTAATAAATTACCTGATTGGTATAAATTAACCTTTTATATGACAGCATACAATGGAGGCATTTGGGGAGCTCGTGGATTTTATTACCTTAATTTGAATTTAACAGTTCACCATTTCTGACAAACTTAGTTTGAGTCATACATGGCAGTAACACTGGGTAAATATTTTTTAAGACCATGTAAATTGGAATTGCTTGGACCAGAGAAGGAAAAAAAAGTTCCTATGTGTTAAATGTTCTGTCTTCCATTCCTGAAATATGTACCCCATGTAGGTCATGGTGACATGAACAGAATGTCAGATTTCTTCTCACTTGGGATCAAGGCATAACTAATAGCAGAGAGATGCAAAAGCTCCATTTCTGAGATATGTTTCTGGAAGAGGAGAGAAGGACCAACAGCCAGATTATAAAGCCACTAAAAACTATTTATGGGACCACATATATACATATGATTTCATAATATTTTTTTTTTTGGTTCCATAATAATTTTTATGCCATAGTAGTCTTATATATTATGTGGTCTGAGAATAATTCCCAAATTAGAATGCTGATTGCTCATCCCACTCCCCCCAAAAAATAGAGGCATAATCGTTGCTTTCAATTCACTGTTTTATATATATATATAAAATTATCTCTACAATTGGTGCTTTAAAGAAGAGTTCATGTAAAAAGATGTAACATGAAGATATAATAGGAGGTCACTGACAGAAGATGGAGGTCACGGGAAACCTCATTACAGCAGTGACATTTAAGCTGAATTTTCAAGTATTGCTAGGAGTTAGTTCTTGTTCTTTTACGAGGGAACTAACGGCAGACTGTGTGTGTATCTGGAACACTGGGAACAAATAGGAAATGGCACAAAATGAGGTGGGAAAGATCAACGAGACCCTGCTCATGTGAGCCTTGTAGATCCCATTCAATCATGCTTGGTAAAGCTGCAAATGGTTTAATAGTTTTCAGCAAAGTGACAGGCTTCATTTGTTCTAAGGATATATCTCTTCCCTCTACATGGAGAGGACTTGGTGGTGGAAAAGCAGACCAGCTAAGAGGATACTGAATTCGCCAGGTTAAGAGGAGATGATCCCTTAAACTGAGATGGTGGCAATTTCAGTCAAGCAGAGAGGACAGGTACACCATAGAGCTGGCAAGCAAATGAACAAGCTGGATTGCACTTGGGGGAGGGTAGAAAGGAAGGTTCGGGCCTGAGCAGCAGCCCTGATGTCTAGGGTGGGGGAGAGGGTGAAAGTACAGGCAGACTCAGTGGGGCAAGAACAGAGGTGCAGTCTTGAATAGGTCAGAGTTGAGGTCTCACGATGAGTCATAAAGAGGCGGCCGGAAGCTCTGTGTTAGAGATGTAAATGTGGGAGTTGGCGTGTAGATGGAATCCGAAGCCTGGGAGTGGAGATCACCGAATCAAGGGCACACAGTGAGCAGAGACGCGCGCTCAAGACTAGTGCTCTAAGTGTTCAGGAGAAGGCGAGGACCCGGCCAAAGAGAAGTCAACATCAAATGAGCTTGCCAATGCTTACTGATGATGGAGAACTTTTTCACGGAGCTTCTCAAGGGACCCATGTACCTTGTAACAACTTCTGGAGGTTGCTAATCAAGATGAGTGGTTTTTAAACTGGGGAGGTTTTAGCCCGCAAGAGGAAATTTGGCAATGTCTAGAGACAGTATGGGTTGTTCCAACAGAGGGGAGAAGAAATACTACCGGCTCCTGGTGGAAAATGGCCAGGGTTGCTGCTACACTTCCTACAGTGCACAGGACGAGCCCAACGACAAACGTTATTCAGTCCCAGATGGAAACAGTTCTGTGGCTGAGAAATCCTGATCGAGCTGAACACTTCCTATGTTCTGATGAAAACTGAGATCCAAAAACGTAAGTGACTTGATTCACACATTTCTAAACCATGACAAAGGCACTTCCAATACCTGGAGCTTGGGATTAGTCTGAGGTCCTTAACATCATTTTAGATGTTTAGATAGTAGGTTGACACAACCTCTTGTAGACTAGAACTTGAGACACCTGAGATGCTCCAATTATCTTTACATCAGGGAATTGAGTGTAAAATTTTATTTCTGGACCTTTCTTTTGGCATTAAGGTGTCTGTTGGGTGCCCTGTAATACCTTACCAACCTCAGAGTGGCCATCTCCTGCAAATATGGAAAGAGCTTCTCTGTATACTCTATTTAGGTTAGTTAAAATGCTATTGAGTTAAATAAACAAAGGTTTTCAAAACTGGAGGGCAAATCATGGCTTTTTCTCCTAAATGCAACATTTAAGTCATATTTTTCAGAATACCAAATATGGTTTTAAACACTAAAAAAATTAATCAATAACATTAATTTTAAAATAATGCTTCACCAAAGTATCACATCTGTCAAATTAATTGAGTTTTCAAAGGTTGAAGCCCAATAAAACAACATTTTTGTAGGGTTTGTAGATATCTTTACCAAAATTATTAATTTTGAAAACTATGGGAAAAGCTACCAACATAATTGGTGATTTATCTTCCCCCATAAGAAAACAACTGAATTGAAGTAATTTTCACTGTTGTTATCCTTCATACAAATGTAAACTACAAAATCACATTTTCAGAAGTTGAAGATTCTCCTGCTGTAAGAAGGTGAACCATAAAATTGAACGCATCATAAAAGTAAAATACTATCATATCACTGCATATTAGCTTTGATTCTACCTGTCATCAGAAAATAATTTAGGAAGCCTCTTCAGTTTCCTCAATTTAATTAAGGGCTTCCAACTTCAAGAATAAACATGAACTATAGCTTTGTTTTTCTTTATTTGAATTCCAAGAGCGTTGCTTTTAAAAGAATGACACGTAAGAGAAAGTAAATGATTAGCAAGCTCTAAATTTATTTGCAATTGGCTTGAGTATTCTGACAGTAAACCATTATTCTATTACAATCCTTTGAAGGATGAATCCAGCAAGTAAAAGGAGAGATAGGAAACCTCTATAATTCTGTCACTACATAAGGAGATGTATGAAATTTTCATTGTATGTGAGGTTCAAAAACTCAAGATTTTAAAGTGTGCTTGTTGATGCAGCCTACTCTGCAAAGGTGGGGGGTGTTAGAGTTTTATCAGTCAAGGTGTCATTTGTATATATAATTTGAAAATATACCCTCTTCCTATGGTACAAGATGTTGGCAGAATTTTAATTAGGAAGGTAGAGCTTTCAAATGCATTTGCTGACTTGCATATAAGAGCACAAGCTAAAGGCAAATTACATATTAATATTTACCATCATTTACTGGATAGCAAAAAAGAATAGGAAATAGATTAAGCATGCCCTCTACCATCCATGTCTCTGAGGTTATCAGATCACCTTAATTAATCATATAGCCTGTAATAATTAGTTATTTCAGTAGGGTTTCTAGAAATGTTTCAGGTACTTTGTTCATACCACTCATTTAATAGGAAATGCCTAGAACATCATTAAGTGATGCAGAAATCTGAGAAGGGATAATGCCAATAATCTATCTAAAATGGCTCAAAGTCATTGGATGTCATTTATTTATTTTATCTTCATGACTCTCTCCTGTGAGATAATGTATATCAGATCAAATTTAAATACAATTATATTTCTCACTAGGAATCTTAAATAGTAAAAAAAAAAAATACAATGACATGCATTTCTCTCAATTACTGTCATTCTCTTCATCTGAAGTCTGCCTCCTGTGAAAAGAAAAGTTCTTATCTATTGACTTATCTGTCCACGTCAAATTTGGGCTAGGGTTTCTTTTTGATTAGGAATTCATTCTCTTTTGAGGGGCAAATTCAAATAGTCAATACCAAACTTTTAATCTTGGTACTGATCCAAATAGGTTTGCCAGATTTAGTAATTAAGAATACAGGAGGTTCAGTTAAGTTTGAATTATTTCTAGTTGCCTATAGATATGTACATTGAGAGGCCTGCATACATTGAGATGGTAATCCCTTGCAATATTTTTCTTTGCCTCAGCTCTTAGGCAATTAGAAATAATACAAATTTTACTGGGCCTCCAGTATTTTTAGCTGTTCCATTGGGCATTTCTGTCCAAGATTAGTGTTCTTTAGGACACACCATTTAAGAAATATATTGTTCTGTGTTCATGGCTTACATTTGTAACATATATAACCATTGTTCAGCAGTGATGGAAACTGTGAGGAAATAATTGTTCCTTCTCAATTGTCTGTATAGACTGCTTCTTAATTTCCTGGCACTCTGACTCTTCAAAAAGTCCTAGAAACTTCAATTTACGAAACTGAATGGGTTTCAGCTTGCTGTACTTTTGACGTCACCTCTCTTTAATAAAATTTCATTTTTGGAAATATTTATGACACGTAAGAGAAAGTAAATGATTAGCAAGCTCTAAATTTATTTGCAATTGGCTTGAGTATTCTGACAGTAAACCATTATTCTATTACAATCCTTTGAAGGATGAATCCAGCAAGTAAAAGGAGAGATAGGAAACCTCTATAATTCTGTCACTACATAAGGAGATGTATGAAATTTTCATTGTATGTGAGGTTCAAAAACTCAAGATTTTAAAGTGTGCTTGTTGATGCAGCCTACTCTGCAAAGGTGGGGGGTGTTAGAGTTTTATCAGTCAAGGTGTCATTTGTATATATAATTTGAAAATATACCCTCTTCCTATGGTACAAGATGTTGGCAGAATTTTAATTAGGAAGGTAGAGCTTTCAAATGCATTTGCTGACTTGCATATAAGAGCACAAGCTAAAGGCAAATTACATATTAATATTTACCATCATTTACTGGATAGCAAAAAAGAATAGGAAATAGATTAAGCATGCCCTCTACCATCCATGTCTCTGAGGTTATCAGATCACCTTAATTAATCATATAGCCTGTAATAATTAGTTATTTCAGTAGGGTTTCTAGAAATGTTTCAGGTACTTTGTTCATACCACTCATTTAATAGGAAATGCCTAGAACATCATTAAGTGATGCAGAAATCTGAGAAGGGATAATGCCAATAATCTATCTAAAATGGCTCAAAGTCATTGGATGTCATTTATTTATTTTATCTTCATGACTCTCTCCTGTGAGATAATGTATATCAGATCAAATTTAAATACAATTATATTTCTCACTAGGAATCTTAAATAGTAAAAAAAAAAAAATACAATGACATGCATTTCTCTCAATTACTGTCATTCTCTTCATCTGAAGTCTGCCTCCTGTGAAAAGAAAAGTTCTTATCTGTTGACTTATCTGTCCATGTCAAATTTGGGCTAGGGTTTCTTTTTGATTAGGAATTCATTCTCTTTTGAGGGGCAAATTCAAATAGTCAATACCAAACTTTTAATCTTGGTACTGATCCAAATAGGTTTGCCAGATTTAGTAATTAAGAATACAGGAGGTTCAGTTAAGTTTGAATTATTTCTAGTTGCCTATAGATATGTACATTGAGAGGCCTGCATACATTGAGATGGTAATCCCTTGCAATATTTTTCTTTGCCTCAGCTCTTAGGCAATTAGAAATAATACAAATTTTACTGGGCCTCCAGTATTTTTAGCTGTTCCATTGGGCATTTCTGTCCAAGATTAGTGTTCTTTAGGACACACCATTTAAGAAATATATTGTTCTGTGTTCATGGCTTACATTTGCTTCATCTGTAACATATATAACCATTGTTCAGCAGTGATGGAAACTGTGAGGAAATAATTGTTCCTTCTCAATTGTCTGTATAGATTGACTCTTAATTTCCTGGCACTCTGACTCTTCAAAAAGTCCTAGAAACTTCAATTTACGAAACTGAATGGGTTTCAGCTTGCTGTACTTTTGACGTCACCTCTCTTTAATAAAATTTCATTTTTGGAAATATTTCAAATACATAGAGTACTTTCAGACTGAGATAGTTAACAGCCCTGCATCATTTATAAAATTCTCTATGTCTAGGCTTTTCTAACTGACTATTTTCTGTACTTGTCAGCTCTCACTGCCACTGTCTCCTGGTGAAATAAGCTCCAAGTTTACTAATAATTTCATGCTTGTATTATCCCCACTAAAACCCTAAGTTTGAGGTTATTGGCACTTGCAGTCAACAGAAAATTTGCCTCAAACATGCTAGAATTAACCATTTAAATTAATATGATTAATCCAATAGAACCTAATTTATATACTTACCATTCAGAGTGCTTCTATCAATCAAATTCGTATCAACTGGCCAATAACTTCCGTCTCCATGGCGACCTGTTCATTGAGAAAATATATCAGAATGTTAGTGGACCTACAACATGGAAACACAAGTGAAACAAAACAGACAGTAGTATTTAAAAATAAAAAACTGAGTAAGATTAATTTATCTACCTCAAAGACAGCCTGAAAATGGTGATACCATTATACTTTGCAAGAAAATGCTATTTTCTATGTGTGAGGAAAAATCTGTCATGAAAATACTCTTCTAAACAAGCTAAAGCTGACCCCTCACTTCCTCTTTTTTTCCCTCCAATATCCTTGTTAACAGGCCGCCAACAGGTACATCAGTGTTGGTCTAAGTGTTGCTGTCTTGAACATCTCCGAACAGAAGGAACGGGGGTGTTGGCTCCTAGAGAGACAGAGCCCGCCTATTCCTTGCTTCAAGGGGTCTAGTCTAGGCTGTTGCCCACTAGACATGATTTTGTGGCAAATGAGCATTACTACTTTACATGGGGACAGCACTTTTTGCCTGGTAAGTTTGAGTTGTCTTTGTGTTATATGCCAAGTAGGTGCCTGAGAATGAACTACTGAATATGGAATAAAGACTAGGGGGTGTGTCACAATCCACATAGTCTATTTCTTACAAACACACTAAGAAACAAGGTTTCTTGAGCATCACGTTATTGGAAACACGGCCTTCTAATAGGTGTTCAACAATTACAAGAGTAGTCTTTAAGAGAACTGAGCCAGACATTAACCAGAAGTAATTACACTATCATCCACATTTAATTAACAGTTTTTCACTACAGGTAATTCCCTTTTCTATTGGTATGTTTGTAGAACTGTAATTATTTGATTAGATTTTGAGTTCTAGACTATCTATTAGAAAAAAAACATTTGGGAGTTGAATCTCTATACAAACACAAGAGTGCAGATAATTCTTCATTCACTTTGGAGTGTGATTTCTGAAAGTGGTTATCATCAGTGGGTGATGTTGAGGAAGCCAGCTAGGATAACACTCGTTGTTTTTGTCAGATGTACAGATATTTTTTTTTTCTTTTTGAAGACTTCCAAGTCCTGCTCCTGTGGCATTCCTGTGCATACCAAACTTTCTGTAGTTAGCGCTTTTAACTACAGCTTTTCCAAGAGCTTATCATTTTATTTGCAAAAGAATTGTGAAGAAACAAGTCTTGTTACCAGACCATGCATTCATAATTTTTAAAAAAAATTCTTTCAGTGTCAAGTCAGAGCTGAACTGAGGGTGTTAACTTTCCAGCAAGCATTGATAAATTAATCCAATCACATTACATTGTGTTTCCAGGATAAATGGGTACATTTAAAATCTGCTGGTCAATGACTCTGGGTATACAAATAAGTGGGAATTAGGATGGAGGTTCCAGTGTGTGAGGCAGGAAGGAATGGTGGTGACTGGGCTTCCCTGGCGGCTTGGATGGTGAAGAATCCACCTGCAATGTAGAAGACACAGGTTCCATTCCTGGGTCAGGAAGATCCCTTGGAGAAGGGGATAGCTACCCACCCCAATATTCTTGCCTGGGAAATCCCATGGACAGAGGAGCCTGATGGGCTACAATCCATGGGGTCACAAAGAGTTGGTCATGACTGAGTGACTTAAAAAAGTATGAAATAAACAATTGTGAAGACATTTTGGGGGGCAATGACAGAAATATAGAGAAGCCTAACCCTTTCCCCAAGCACCTTGTTTGTGTAACTCTGACGCACCTGGGATTTCAATAAGCCTTGCCCACAGGACACTGACAGATCAAGGTTGGAAGAAATTAAGTGAGACAGAAGTTCTGTATGAATATTAAGATGACTTTTCACACATCTGAAAGCAACTAGATTGCAAAGCAGTCAGCCAAAAGAGATGCTAACAGCCCCATCACTTAAGCCACTAAAGCAATAAATGATTCCTGTTGGGAGTCATTCTGTATTGGCTGGAAATTAGGTACATAGCCTGTGGAGGATTTTTCCTATTCCTCTAGCATCCTGACAAATGTCTTTTTAATGAAGTTTCTTACTCTCCCAGCTAGTTTGTGGGAAGATGCAGAAACAAGCCCCTGAGCACATCCATATATTACTTAAACATAAACCTCTGTGGGTATAGCACCCTTTAGACTCAGTGAGGCTATTGATTACATGGTGAATTTCAATTTGCAGAAGAATATCCGATGTCATAGGTTAGAGCTCTGTGTAAGATAAAGGAACTTGAGATACTTTTGAAATAACAGAGCAGCTGAAAGCTTAAGCATTCTACTCACATAATCTAAGGTACTGACATCAGTTAATATTTTGTTGGTTATAATTAGATGGATACCATGAAAGAAAATTAAGTAACTCTTAACAAATCCAACAGGAAATACTTTAAGGAAACTTGATATCATCAACAAGCAAGACTGGATTCATGGTAATTTAAGACTTCTGGCACCTCTTCAGTAAAGACACACAAAACTCATTTTGGGGATATCGAGGAGTCTGGGATCTCTTTATTTAAAGATGTGGGAAGCAAATATCATTTTGTGTGTTTCTATGCTTTTGTTCTTTAAAATATGTCTTTTAAATTCCAAGAAGTCTTTTTATGGGCAAATTGGGTAAATGTGTGTGTGTATGTTTGGTCACTCAGTCATGTCAGACTCTTTGCAACACCGTGGGCTGTAGCCTGTCAGGCTCCTCTGTCCACGGAATTTTCCAGGCAAGAATACTGGAGTGGGTTGCCATTTTCTCATCCTAGGGATCTTCCCAATCCAGGGATAGAATCCACATCTCCTGCACTGGCGGGCAGATTATCCACCACAAATAACAAGCTAAAAATAGAAGATTCTCCTGCTATTTTAAGGCAAGAATCACAAAATTGTCAGATGAAACACTGGACTAGTACTGTTTCTCATGTCAAAAGGGCTTTTTGCTGTAGCTGAAACATTAGATGCGTTTAGTAAACTTGGTGAATTTCATAAGCACTGATTAAGGGAAAGAATGACCTAATTAGACTCTGGAAGATGAAAAGTCACTTAACAGCAAAGATATAAACTACTATTCGTTCCCAGAGGTCTTAATTTTTTAATGGAGCATAAAACTGATAATAATTCACTCAAAATATACTAAGTGCCCACTATAGGCAAGGCATAGTCCTAGATGCTCATGGGAGGGGTAGCATAAAAAGATTTATTAGATATAGAACCTGCCAAGACAGATAGCGTTGGCTCACTGAATCCAAATCCTATACAGGACTATTTATGGTTAATATTAGCTAATATCAGATCATTTTTTAACTTATTCTGACTTTAAAGATTTAAGAATAAGTTAATTCCTACTATAAAATAACTATTACTAAATTGATTTACTATTACTATAAAATCACTATTAGGTTTCAGTGAAAATATCTTTCATTTATCTAGTATTTTTAAAAGAAGTACATGCAAATAAAAGATAATATATTATTTTTAGTCTTGTACATTTCACAATTAAATTTATCTTAAATCCATTGATTCCTTTTTTTGCTTATGGTACTAAATATCTAACATTTTTCAAAAGTAAAAATTTCAAATAAGTAATAAATATGTGGATATTTAAACATGACATTTGTGGAAGTAATACATTGAATGTATGAAGTTTTTAAAAATTATTCAAATAAAGCTCCACATAGTTCAGAAAACTAGAGATAGGTAGTTTCTTTTTTCATTAAGGAATTAGTAATATGATTTTACAGGAACAACAGGAATGAAAATGTACTATGTAAATATAGTATTATATTCTCAAGAACTCATCCTAGGGATCTTCCCAATCCAGGGATAGAATCCACATCTCCTGCACTGGCGGGCAGATTATCCACCACAAATAACAAGCTAAAAATAGAAGATTCTCCTGCTATTTTAAGGCAAGAATCACAAAATTGTCAGATGAAACACTGGACTAGTACTGTTTCTCATGTCAAAAGGGCTTTTTGCTGTAGCTGAAACATTAGATGCGTTTAGTAAACTTGGTGAATTTCATAAGCACTGATTAAGGGAAAGAATGACCTAATTAGACTCTGGAAGATGAAAAGTCACTTAACAGCAAAGATATAAACTACTATTCGTTCCCAGAGGTCTTAATTTTTTAATGGAGCATAAAACTGATAATAATTCACTCAAAATATACTAAGTGCCCACTATAGGCAAGGCATAGTCCTAGATGCTCATGGGAGGGGTAGCATAAAAAGATTTATTAGATATAGAACCTGCCAAGACAGATAGCGTTGGCTCACTGAATCCAAATCCTATACAGGACTATTTATGGTTAATATTAGCTAATATCAGATCATTTTTTAACTTATTCTGACTTTAAAGATTTAAGAATAAGTTAATTCCTACTATAAAATAACTATTACTAAATTGATTTACTATTACTATAAAATCACTATTAGGTTTCAGTGAAAATATCTTTCATTTATCTAGTATTTTTAAAAGAAGTACATGCAAATAAAAGATAATATATTATTTTTAGTCTTGTACATTTCACAATTAAATTTATCTTAAATCCATTGATTCCTTTTTTTGCTTATGGTACTAAATATCTAACATTTTTCAAAAGTAAAAATTTCAAATAAGTAATAAATATGTGGATATTTAAACATGACATTTGTGGAAGTAATACATTGAATGTATGAAGTTTTTAAAAATTATTCAAATAAAGCTCCACATAGTTCAGAAAACTAGAGATAGGTAGTTTCTTTTTTCATTAAGGAATTAGTAATATGATTTTACAGGAACAACAGGAATGAAAATGTACTATGTAAATATAGTATTATATTCTCAAGATATAAAGAAGAACTCTTGTGTTACTCTGTACCCAAACTTCCTAATAGAAATTAGGGTGAGGAACAGAATTAAGATGATAAAGTAATGAATCTCCTAACCAACCATGGATTTCATCCAGATAATTTCATCCAAAAAACCGTTTCTTCCAAAAAGTTTTGATAACTGAAGCAAAGCACCTTTCTCTGGTTTCAGAAAGAAGAGAAAAAAAAAAAAAGGACATGATCCCATATTTGACTTGAA